AACTGTATACAAATGTGCCTTATTGGTTTGCACGAAGACTGTCGTTTTACACCACACATGAGACCTTCAGTTCTTCCACATCCATTATCCACACCTGGTATCATCCGCTTCTGCTTTTGCTTTCACTATTAGATATTCCAATAAGTACGAGAAGGCACTGTGCTCTGGTTTTGATTTCCATTTCCCTAATGTCTAGCATGTGCCCCACCTCCTCAAACATTCATTCACCATCCACATAGTGTCTTAGGAGATGAGTCTGTTCAAATGGTTTGTCTATTTCGTTACTGGGTGGGGTGTGTGTGTGTGTGTGTGTGTGTGTGTGTGTGTGTGTGTGTAAATGTTTAAGTACTTTATTGTTTGAGATTATAATATAATTCTATTATTTCTCCCTTTTTCTTCTCTCCAAGCCTTTCCATATTGTCTTCCTCACTCTCTTTCAAATTTATTGTCTCTTTTTCTATTAATTATTGTTTTAACAACAATTATATATATATATATGTGTGTAACATATAAATATATATATTCCAAAATGCATGAACACAACCTGATCAGTCTGTATAATGTCATTGTATGTATGTTTCCAGGGCCGACCATTGGTATTGGATAACAAATTGGTGTACTCTTCTCTGAGGAAGACTGTTTCTCCCACTCTTAACTCACAGTTGTGTGTGGTTCTTTGTGTAGGGTTAAGGCCTCCAAGAGCTTTCCCTCTCTACCTTAGCATGTCCGTTGTTGTCCTTGTTCAGCTCCTGTTTAGACAGCCATGTCAGTGAGACTTTATGGGTGTAGCTTCTGACAATCCCAGGAGACACAATCTAACAGCAAACGCCCTGATCCTCCAGCTTTTGCAATCTTCCTGCCCCTTTTTCGGCAATGATACCTGAGTCTTAGGCGTAGGAGTTGTGTTGTGCATGTATCCCTTGGAACTGGGCTCTGCAATGCTGCATGTTGGCTTGGTTGTGGTTTTCTGTTGCAAAGAGAAGTTTCCTTAATGAGGGTTGAGAACGACACTCATCTGAGGGTATAAGGAAAAAATATTTAGAATGTAGCTAGGGATTATGCTGGTGTAGTAAAGTGGCAGTTATAGACTCCTTCCAAGATCCATGACTTCACTAGCTCTGGGGAGTTACCTAGGTTTCCAGTACCAGGCATGGTTTCCCTCTTGTTGAGTGAATCTGAAGTCCAGTTAGAGAGCTGTTGGTGACCACCATGGTGTGTGTGCCACTACAGCACTCTTTGAATTATTATGCTATGCTAGTCATCATTGTGGTTCGTAGGCATTATTATCTAGGTAGGACTGTTGGTTGTCTCTCTCCTTTGGAAGCTTTCATGGTGCCTTCTGTACCATAAAACTTATTCCTCAGTGAGGAGGCATTCAGGTCTGTTCCAGATCAGGGGGTTCTGGGCCCTCTGAAGTGCAAGGTGTCTTCAGCAATAGGTACTTACCTTCCACCTTTAGGGGGCAACCAAGGACAATAGCAATAAGCTGTATGTTGGGGAATCTCTTTGACAGCCCTGCCTAACAACTCAAAAGAGGGCTTTCTCGGGTGTGGTGTTGCAGATGATCTTTGGCTCTTGGAAGGAGCATCGTCAGCCCGGATGGGAAAGTTTTATTTAAACTCATATATATACTGTATATAAATATACAGACTTGCATACATTATAGGTACTTTTAGGTAGACAGCTAATAGTATGATTCCTTGTGACTTTTTCAGACATCCTTGCTGTTATTTTTACCCTCCTCCCTCCTTCTCCTGGACTTGCCCTCCCCCCACACACATGCTAATTAGAATGCTCCCATTTTTCCCATTTCCCACATCAAACCACATGTACCCACCCTCCTGTTCCTCTATTGCTCCTTTACCCAGCACTGTGCCCTTTCAACGTTCCTGGTTTCTGCAGTTACTCTAGCATGTGTCCTTTTGAGTAAACTTTGAGAGTCTATACATGTCCAACTAGACTGTGGCTTGATTTGGGGTGTTTTTTGTTGTGATTGTTGCTTTGTTTTGTAGGTTTTTGGTTTGGTTTGGTTTGACTTGGTTTGGTTTGGTTGTTTGCTGGCTTTTAAACAAAAGTTCCCTCACCCCATTTGTCTTTCCTGAAACAGAGATTCAATGAATGTAGGTGTCTGCCATGGAAAACTCCCATAGCTCCTCTGCAACAGCAAGGCTGAGGTTCTCTGGAGGCTAAAGTCTCCCTGACCAGCAGTTTCTGGTTTGGTTAATACCCTGGTGCATCAGGGCTTTGACCTTGCAGGATATTCTTTATGCATGTGCCTCTCATGCTCCCCCAGCCAGCCCTCTTCCTCCTCCAGCGGGCTCCTCCTCCTCCTGACTGTCTACACAGCTGGTCAGAGCTGCTCTGGCCTGAGAGAGCAAAGTGCAGGAGGGGTGAGAAGGAAGTGGGAGCACACAGAGGGAAGGTGCTGAGAAGCCTGATGGGGAACTGTCTGCAGAGGAAAATAGGGTGAGTTCACTTTCTCTGGAGAGCAGGGACCTGGCCCAGTGGTGAAACAGAAAAAGAGGGCTACTCTTAGGGTGAAGGGAACGGGCCAAGAGTGTGACAAGAATTCAGTACCTCCCGAACCACACACCCTGTGGTTTGCCTTCTGCTCTGAATCCCAGCATGAGGAGAATAGCTGGAATGTGGAAAGACTCCACTAAAAAGGGGCTCTGCCCATCTAAGAAATGAAACAGTTGCCCTGCGGCTGGGGAGAGGGACGCTCTCCTGAGCTCTTGATGTTCCTGAGGATATTCATGAGCATCCACTCTTTCAGGGACTCTATGAATTTAAAATAAATAGCACATTTCCTGCCAGATGAGACTTCAGTTAGTGCATTTGCAAGCAGATTAAGGAGGGTCATGTCACTAGGGAGAAGAATTGTTTTCATGGTCCTGGGCTTTGGTCTCCTCATTTTATTTTGTTGTTGCTGTTTGGAGGGTTTTTTGTTTTGTTTTGTATTGTATATATATATATATTTTTTTTTTTGGTGTTTTATTTTTTGAGACAGGGTTTCTCTGTATAGCACTGGCTGTCCTGGAACTCGCTCTGTAGACCAGACTGGCCTCAAACTCACAAAGATCGCCTACCTCTGTCTCACCACCACTGCCCATCTCCTCATTTTAAAAGACAATAATAGTATAATCCTACCCGGAGGTTCCTAGTGTGGATAGCAGCAGCATGGTCCCTAACAGAGAAGGGTTCAGTGATCGGAGGCTAGTCTCAGTTTTCAGACCATCATTTTCATTCAGTCAAAGCAAACACAGGTAAAGAAAATTATCACCCAAAATTAAGGGGTTTCTATGGTATGAAGTGAGGTGATCTATAGTGAGTAAGCTGGCAGAGAGTCTTCCAGGATGTGCTTGCTACCCTGGTCTCAGATAGCATATAAAGGGGAACACAGAAAAATGAGGTCGTGCAAAATGCCAAAGGGGATTTGGGAGTATCTATCTGTGTCCTTTCCTGAGAGCTGACACTATCTGAGCGTTTGCCCTGAACTCTCTCAACCCCTCCTCCACCTTCTTACGGCCTCCTCTAATGACTGTCATTTTGTCTCTCTGTGAACGCCTCTAAATGTGGCTTATTATTTTCTGCTCTTTGCTTTGTGAGCTCCTGGTTCCTGCCTTTGTTTCTGGCACACAGCAGGTACTCAGTAAGTGCTAGATGGGTGATTGGAAGCATTCCTGGGGAGAGAGAAAGCAACATGTAGAAATAGTATAGATGAGGAAATAGTGATGGATGGCGTACATGCACTTTCGTGTCTCAGAACTTGGCTGTGGGGTTAAGTATTGTAACACTGATAAATATTTACCATGAGAGAGATGAAAAGTATAGAAATGCATGTAGAAGAAGATGAGATGAGCTGGTATGCACACTTACAGTTACAGCATTACATCCACCGTCTTTATTTTAGCTCCAAGATCCAGCAGTCATTTGTGTCTTCTTACCTATCAAGAGCCAGTAATGCCGTCCTTCAAGTTTTGTTTGGGGTTTACGCTATTTTGTTTCTAAAGTGAAAAGCTATTTTTATTTTTTAAATGGGTTTTTCTCATAAATATGCAAAAAATAATAATAATTTTCTAGTCGATGGCTAGATTTTTATGATTTTGTGTCCATTACATTTTAAAGATGATTGAACTCACTCTGGAAATCACTTAGGTGCCTTTCACTGCATTTACACTTAGCAGGTTTTCCTTACCAACTCACATTCTCATTTTTTTCATGTGGCTTTATGAATTTACAGTTAGTCCTATACACTCAATAGATGGTTCAGATACTATTATATCCCTAAATAACTGCCCAGCGGTATCCCTAAATAAATTGTCCAGCATCCTCATTCCTGTGCTAATTGAAGTTGTTGTCTTGCATCAACTGGAACTCTTGTCCATCTTTCCTGTTACCCCTGTGGGCACACCCCTTACTATGTCTCTGCAGGTCATAGGATGGAAAACCACCTCTCCCCACAGGAAGAGCCCAAGGTCTTAGGGAAAAACATTTTCCCTAAGAAAATCTAGGTTTTCCCCCTTCCTGGTTGTGGATCCTCAAACAAGCTGCCTAAATTCTGTCCCCAGTTCCCTTGTTAATAAATGACAGGACAATAATATCAACTGATGGACTTGTTCTGAAACTGAATGAAATATAGCACAGAAAAAGATCGGCATATCCTGAGAAGTACTCACCAATTTTGTTTCTTCATACTCTCAACTTCCAGCAAATGAAAAAAGGATTAAGCAGAAATCTAATCCAAACAGGGAATGAATTTAATTCCTATATAATTGTTTCCTTCTCCTTCCATCTATCCTTTGTTCTCTGGATTACTGTGAAAGATGGTGTCTGCCCAAACCCCATTGCTTGGGTGCAGGTCCTGAAACAGCAGCAAGTAAAGAATGACTGGGGAGGCTCAGGCTTCTCCCTGTGCAGCGGCATTTTCATGCTTGTGATGAGGATTCCGAGGCATCATTTTAGGACTGTGGGTGTGGGCTGTTCTTCTGGTGACAGAGATGTTAGATCTGAAACAGGCTCTGGCCTGGGGTTCAGGATGGAACATTAATAGACGGCAGGGCAATGAGAGGCATGCTAAGGTGGTTCCAGAACTGCACGTAAACAGAAGAGATGAAACAGCTGAGGGAGAAACGTAAAACCGTAGGGGGAATTATGGGATGACACAGTGGCCCATTTCTAATATCTGAGTCTTAGGTGGAAGCTGGACACTCAGGGGACACATTGGAATCTGAGACTTCAAAATGTCAAGCAGCAGACCTACAGGTGAGAGTACATACTGTCCAACTCCCCGGGAAGAAAGAGCCTGTCAGGGCTGGGGCCACCCATTCCCCACAGCAAAGGCCCAGTACCAGCTGTAATGACAGCGAGTAGGAAAACAATAGGAAAGACAGCAAGACTTCCCTCCACTGGACAGGAGACATCCTGCTATTCTAAGAGCCTTCTGTATCCTTGGCAACAGGAAATCAGATGCTTAAGTCCCTGGTACCGCTTGAAATAAAGATCTGAAATCCTGTTGTCTATTTGTGGAATAAAGTACCTCTGCACTCAAATCTCTACCTTGGCTCTGTCATACTAAGCTTTGGGTTTCTATTTCTGAGTTAACTACATTCTCCCATGACACGAGGTTGAAAGGCCTGTGGAGAGGTGCTTGTGTTTATGCTGGTACTGGAAATCTAATACAGCTTCATGCATCCTTCCTGGGTGGCCGTTTGAGTATCCAGTCTTAAGGAACTCCCAAGGAAGGAATCTTGCAATGTACAAGTACCTCAGGCCTAAGAGTCCAAATTATGGCAAAGTCTGTTGTTCTATAACTTGCATAGTTAGCAGCAGTTCTCACAGTGTTCCAGGACTCACTTCTGAGAGAGCACCTAAAAACAAACCAAGACCATGTTAGGGGCAAGACCCTGAGATCCTTCCCACCCACGGCTGCATGTCTTCAGTGCAAGCTGAGAAGTATGTATCTCGAGGAGTGTCATTGACCATCTATTAAAGCATGTATATAACTTGATGGAAAGGAGAGAAAAGGATGGGGGAATAATGACAAGGGAGAGATTCATAGGCTTCATAACAGAGGCCTCATGAAAAGATAAGCACCTGGGATTGCTGGTGTCCCTATGATGTCACAGAGGTTTGTCTCTCTTTTCGTGATCACGATACAGACTTTCCCTATCGGAGGGCACTCCAGGGAGAACTTACTGGGAGGCACATTTTTAGATATTTTCCTTACCTGGACTCACCTTAAACCAAAACACACATATTAAAATGCAAGAACGCACTGCAAAGGACGTGTAGAAAAGAAGGAAAGTTAACAAATCACTTTTGCCCCTCATCACCTTTGTCTGACCCTTAACAGCTTCATGAAATAAATAGTACATATAACCTCATTTTGGAAATTAAATTGTGGCTCAAAATTTTTAGAAATATGAATATGAATCCAGTAACTCACATCTCACTTCCGTTTTCCCCTAATGAACCTGCCTTCTTAGCACTGGGCAGATTCGGGAGCTTCCATATGATACCTTTTAACAACAGAAGCAGAAGATGAAAGCAAGTGATTTACAGGACACAAAGGACACTAAGGGCAACCTAAAGAAGAGAGTTGAGGCTACGCCCCAAAGTCTCTGATAACACATAGAACCAGGAAGCCATCAAGACGTTCACCCAAACTGGTAGTCACAACCATGGCCATGGCTTACATGGCCATGGGTGACAGCCAGCCTCTATAAAAAGCACAAGTCTTCATACTTAGCTATACTCTTGGAATTTGGGTGGTAGATCTGATGACCTCCTGTTTTGGTGGCTGTGCTCATAGCTACTCATGTAAAGGTTCATCAAATATTCATAGGAAACAAATTTGCTGTATATTTGATAGGTTGGCATACACTGGTGACATAAACCACGATGGGTGGGATGAGTGTAGTCCCAGCTTTATGAAGTTCACATTCTAGTGTAGGAGATAGACATGTGATTAGTCTAGTAGAGTGGAGTATACGTAGGAGAGATTAGAGAGTCAGAGTTCAGTGGCATCCTGTGGAGATACTGCTAGACCTTGACCCAAACAAGATGATTCCTCAAGCGTGAAATTCATACCTTAATATTCTGGAGATAATGCCATCACAAGGAGTCAAGTAAATCACTGGAATTGTGAGTTTTAAAACTTTTTGTTTCCCTTGATGAGAATAGACAGGTTTTTTTTCCTGGCTAGAAACTAATGGTGTCATAGCCTTGTGTCCAGTTCACCTAATAAATAAGGACAGAAACAGCGAGGGGAAAGAAGTCACCGTTAACCAAGCCGCCGAAACCAGACTCACTGACTTCCTGGCACCCCTCTCTCAGTTATTTCAGGTGCTGGAGTTGCTGTCATATCGTTGAAGGGTGCTCCTGCCTTCCTTGGTAAGTAAAGTATCGCTCAAGGAATCAGCTTCCTAACTGTGTTTTCAGTGTGGGGCTTGTTAGGTACCTGTGAGCTCCTTTCCCTTCGCGGCTACACTCAAGCTGGGTACCAAGCCCAGATACGGTCACTGAGAATCAGTCAAGGAAACAGGCCCCAGAATGCGGTGATAATCAAGAATAATAATTGTCTCGTGGGTGGTGGAGTCTTCTCACATGGGTAAGCGTCAGATGTAAGAATGAAACTGCCCGTTAATACTGAGAGTCTTCACATTGCAAGTCCCTTGTATAGAAACACACATTTCTGCCCTCTGAATGGAGAATGTGTAGTCCAGGTGATAATTTATTGTCCAAACTGAGACACTCTGGAGAGTGAAACAGTTCCTAAAAATAGCTAACCACCACTAAGTGATTGATAGTGACATTAATGTACCAGACTTAGCATGCCAGACCCATGGCCATCCTTAACAGCAAACTGTCACTTTGCCCACTACATGACAATGGGCTTTCATCATATTTCCAGGGAGTCTTCTATACAGTGTACTTTAATGGGAAGTGTTTGGGTTTTTTTGTTTGTTTGTTTGTTTGTTTGTTTGTTTGTTTTGGCTTGGGTGGCCACAGGTTAGGCTTAGGATTGAAAGATGCCTGCTCCTCCATGTGTATGATTTAAAACAAAATGGAGGTTTGTGTCAGAAATATTCTCCGAAAATGTAACCTCTTAACACCACACGTGCATGTATCAGATTGCAAAATATAAGCAGCAAAGGGGGTAGAAAGGAAAGCATTTCTACTTAACATCCTCTTATCTTTTGCCCTTTCTTACTTTTTCATTCCTTTATGTTGAAAGAGATAATATAAGAAGAATAATAACTACCAATGATTGAAATTGAAGTCTCATAATGCAATATTTAAGACCTTCTGAATATTGGAACAACCTGTCTGCATTCCTTTTTTACAGGAAGAACATAAGCACATTTAAAGTCAGACAAGAGTCCCCAAAGCAAAGTAAGTCATCATTTTGTTTCGTGTTTGTTTGTTTTGAGAAATGGTTTTTCTGTATAACAGTCCTAGGTGTCCTGGAACTCTCTTTGTAGAACAGGCTGGCCTGGAACTCATAGAGATCCGCCTGCCTCTGCCTCCCCAGAAATGTAAGTCCATCATTTTTACTCTTGATGGACTTACATTTCTAAAATGTCCTTTCTCTGTGCTTCCAAAGCCCAGTGAGAAGGTCTGCTCTGTAAACCTACACATACTGCTGCAATTTCCCCCAGCTTCCTGTTTGTTTGCTTGATTTTCCCATTAGGCAGTGGGTTCATTGCAGCAGAGATTGATTTATTGATCTCCTCAATCCGTGCCTTATCTGGAAACTGAGGGAACTAACTGGGAACAACAAATGTGGCAGTTAGGGCACAGAGGAGCAGCTGAATATCTCAGTTCTCACCTTAAGAGCAACAGGGAAGGATGGAGAAGTTTCCTGGAAGAGGCAGGGCTGGTCAGATTTGCATTGAAGAGATCCTCCAGCCCAGTGGGATATGCAGAAAGGAAACAGTATCAACTGTTGGCAAGAACTGAGACCAGCAGACCTCTGATGAGGCTGTTGGGACAGATCAGTAGTGAAGTTAAGGAAACAAGAGTTGGGACTGGAGAGATTGCTCAGTGATTAAGAACACACTGGCTGCTTCCAGAGGACCCTGGTTTAATTCCCAAGCACCCACATGGCAGCTGGCAACTGTCTGTAACTCCTGTTCCAGGGGACCCGATATCCTCACATACAGATACACATGCATGCAAAGCACCAATGCACATAAAATAAAAATAAATAATTAAAAAAGAAAGAAACGAGATTTGATGAGTGGTTGGAGAATGATGGCCCATACATGACAGAGAATAAGAAAGTGTGAGTGTGAGGATGGACCCTAACATTGCTGAAGAAAAAAAAAATGGAGGAATTTTGTCTTCCCCTAGCTGGGTTTAAAGTGGAGAGTATAGCTCACTCATGCACTGAATCTCAAAACCCAGCTCTGTGGGTATATAATGCAGCCTCTAGACCTCCCAGCATGAGCCGTTTCACCCAGGAACAATGGATCCCAACAAGCGCTAATTTCTATCAGAATAAGACACAACAGAAATAAGGCCACGGGTGCCAAAATGCAGAAGACTTTCTTCTAGTGAGAATCAGTGACACCCCCAGATGCTATAAAACCTTATGGGGATGTGAAGGTCAGGGAAACTATGAATCCATGAGCCACATGGTGGACAGCTCTGCCTCCTGTATGGGTTTCCATGGATGGCATCTTTTTTCTTCTTCTGGCTGGATGCCAAGAGTGGGAAGCATGCCTCTGCTCTCTGGCTGAAGCCAGTCGGTTTGGAGTAAAATACTTACAAAACATTGCCTTGCTTCTGCAGAAACATAAATGTTCAGCATCTGAGCATTCTGAAAAACTTTCCTTGAGCATAAGTCCTCATGCTATCATCATCTTAACATTATCTGTTAAAAAGGACCCCCTCCTGTCTGCTCTGTGGGTCTCTCATGCTGTCTTGTATGTCCCCTGCCTAGCCTGTGAGAAACAGGCTTGTTGCTGGTATATCTGTCTCCCTATTGTGTTTTACCAAGTAGGTACACAATGGGTATTATATAAAGGAAGAGGGAAGAGAGGGGGTATGATTGGCTGCCCAAAGATGCACTAAAAGTATCTTTCTTCACTGGCCCTAGCAGCCTGAGCAAGCTCTCCTGTGGCTTTGTTTAGGGTGTCCTGTGACTCTTCGGGATCTGTAACAGACTTCTGTAAACTACTCTAGCTGTCCCTTGGCTGTCTGGCTGCAAACATCCCAGCCCCACTCCCTGGAGTCTCCATCTCAACCTGAGATTTATTGAGTGTATTTTCTTTCTGCAGATGAAGGGATGACTTCAGCTCCTACGCAGGTAATAAGACCCCTTCTGATCCCAACGTGGAAGAAACACTGTAGATGTCGGGGGGGGGGGGGGTTGTGGGGGAGGGCAGGAACCCACAGTTATTTGCAGAGCCTGGTAGCAGAAACAGCAGCCCTCCTGTGGTGTAACGGATTGGAGGGAACTAACATTTGCTGAGCACTTTGTTATGACAGGCCATGTGTTGAGTGTTTGACAGGCATCCCATATAGCTGTCACAACAACCCATATTATTGTAATATTGTGCCCTCTCACTTCTTCACAGATGCAAAACCTGAGAGATTAAGTTACAGTGTCCAAATCCAGGCCTCTGAAAGATGGCAGGGCCAGCATTCAAACCCCAGTCTCACTCTAACAGTCACGTGCTTTCCACTGTACATTGCTGCCTCTGATGTTTTAGCCCCTGAGATTCCACCATTAGTGAGACCTTCCCTTAGATTATCAATACAATCATCTGCCTGTGGATGTATTGCAATTAGTAGAGAGGGCTTATCGAGCATGCAGGAAGCCCTGGGTTTGATCCCCAGCACAGCATAAACTGGAAGTGGTGACACACATACTCCTAAGGCACTCATCAGATACAAGGAAGAGGAACAGAAGCTCAGGGTCATCCTCTGCTACACATTGATCGGGATACCAGAGACCCTGTCTCAAATAATGATAATAATAATAATAATAATAATAATAATAATAATAATAAATAATAATCTCTTGATGAGTTGTTAAATATTATCCAAGCACATCCAGTGTTCTATGACCATCGGAAGTACTCAAGGAGGTCAAGGGTCACACTATGGAACATATATAAAGGAGACACACATGTATGCTTTGGATGGCAGGAACACTCCATCTTCTAGTTTAGTATTTGGAATGCCCCTGCAGCCATTTAGAAAAGATGCCTGAGAAATGAAGAAAGTGGTGGTAGTGGACGACAGAATTTCCCCCGTCAGACTTGGTTGTCACTGAAGCATGAACGGAATGGAAAGAGGCCAGATCTTTATGATGGCTCTCCTTTGACCTGCAGGACAATGCTGACCAGATCTACACAGAGGAGTTATGCTACATCCTCGTTGACCACAAGGCCCTCGGAGGAAGGCCATCAGACAGTTCTGCTGAGGGGTTCTATGAGAACGTCTCTAGCAAGGCTGAGAGACACAGAGAGTCTTCAAGAGAAATAGAGACAGAGTATTCGGTTCTCCGTTTCTCTTCCACCCCTCAGCCGCCACCTCCCGCAGAAGGGGAATACGAACTTCTTGTGCCCAGCAGACTCTCCTTCCATGCCCGTCAACAGCCACAGCCACTTAGAGCCCCCTTTGAGACTCACTTTTCTCATCTACAGTGAGTGACTAGGCTAGAGTCTGTTCAGCACTGACAGACAAAAGTAGGAGTTGGGGACTCTGTTGGATGACAGATAAAAGTAGGGCTTGGGGACTCCAGTTGAAGCAGGCATGGGGCACAGAGATCCTTAGCTTAGTTCTTCTGGAGGACCTTGGAAGAGCAGACTTTGCAGACCACAGAGCCTTTTAGAGTCTGACAATAATCAACGCTCAAAAATTAGTCAATTGTCTTGGATGTCGCATTGTTTAAAAAAAAAAAAAGAGTGGCCACCTTTGCTTTTAAGTGGTTAAAAAAATACTCTGTGGTAGGAAGGGCTCCCCATATCTGCATCTGGTGTACCACAAAAAGCTCTGCTCTTCTCACTAAGTTCTTATGAATTATCCCCACAACTGTTTTCTGAAGGTGGGTAAGCTTACTCATCAGGTTACATGTCCCCAGGGGGAATTCCCTCATCACTGTGCAATCCCACCTCAGCACCACTTGGACAGGACAACCTGCAATATTCCTTTACTCCATGGGCTCAGGACATGTCCTTCACTCAACGTCCTTTCTCTCATTGTCGCAATGGCTTAGAATTTCCTGTACCATTGTTAATATAATTTTAAACTACATTCTTCAAACTTTGACTTGCTCCTCAGAATTGTCTTTCTCTTCCGGTGTAGGAAATCGTTCCCAGAACTTCATCCATGATAGGCAAGTGATCTACCATTAAGAGACAGCTCAAACCCCTCCACATGGTTCTCAGTAGAATCCAGCCTGGTCTACAGAGTGAGTTCCAGGATAGCCAGGGCTACACAGAGAAACCCTGTCTCATAAAACAAAACAAAAACAGCAACAACAAACCCTCAGTAGAATCCCCACAGTGTGGGAGTGATGAGTAGAAAGGCCACTGTAGAACCATTAACTTCACTATCTTCTTTTTGGACTGAGAGAAAACAATTTGCCCAAAGGCACTTTATTGGTGTTAGTGGCAGGATTTTATTCCAGCTTCCAAGTCAGTGCTCCTGCTACATACTATAATAGAGTAGAGCAAATTTCTTCATAAATTATCCAGCATGTGTGAAATGTCCACATGGGAAAAATAACACACACCCCCCTTCTCTGTGAGCACCCTGCTGTGCCTTGATTCTTCATTTTCCCTCATTTTTTCTTTAGAATTTCTGGAATTGTATCTACCCTCTGTTAGCCAAGTATGCATAACCTGCTGACTGACCAAATCTGACCCACCACCTGTTTTTGTAGATAAAGGTTTATTGAAAAACAGCCACACTGATTTGTCTACATACTATCTAGGGTTGCTCAACCATGGTAGAGTTGATTTGTGACACAGACCAGAGCTTCACAAAGCTAAAAATATCTTCAGTTTAACCTATTCTGGACAATAACTTTGAAGACCTTTGCCCCAAACAATGACAGTTTGAGATAAACTTAAGGGGACTGTGATTGGTTATTGATGCAACTCGTTAGGAGCAGATACCGATGAAATGGCGAGAAAATATTAAACCACAAACGAGATGAGCGAGACGAAAACAGTTATTAGCAAATTAGACTATTTCTACATTCACACCTGCATCCTCAAGATGTTATTTTATTTACCTCATGGCCACTGTCCTAATTTTAGGGATGCTAAAACGGCAAGATGTTCATTGAGACAAGCTCTGGATGCACTGTTCATTTAATTACCTCTTTGTGCTCAAAGCTGAATAACTTTCTACTTAAAATGTCACGAGGTATTAGGGAGGTAGCTCAGTAATAGGATCCTTGTTTAGTGTGTACAAGGCATACACATATGCACATACACTTGCACACATGTGGGCATATACACACATACACACACACACAAATAAATAAATAAATAAATAAATGAATAAATAAATGAATGAATGAATGAATAAATAAATAAATGAATGAATAAAAAACAAAACAGACCAAGTCCCCATTGAGAGGAAATGCAGTGGCTTGAGGTCCTCTGAGTGAGTCTGCTGAGATGTAAGCCTGTTGATCATCTGCAGCTAACAAGCTGACCAGACCTCAGTACCTCGGTCTCAGCTAACTCCCTTCTTCTACAGCTGTCTTTCACACCGAAGCCTAACTTTAGACTTTGGCCAGAAGTCGCTTGGGTTCAAAGGGCGTGTCCATGGTGATAGGAAATGCTGTACAAGACGTAACACATGGCTTATGGGAAGCAGTGTGGGCCAGTGACTGACTCAAGCCCTCGTTTCCTTTTTGCCTTCAACTCTGACCCACTTACTTGAGGCTCAGTCTAGTGCCCCCGGACATGGGAGGGCGACATCTGACATACGGTCATCTACTCTAGTTTCCTTTCTACTGCTGTGATAAAGCACTGGCAAAGAGTTAATTAAGGAAGAAAGGGTGTATTTGACGTATCTGTTCCAATCATACTCCTCCAGGGCTGGGGCGTGAGGCAGGAAGTGAGGCAGAGGCCATGGAGGAATGCTACTTACAGCTCTCTTAGTTTGCTTTCTTCTACAACCCAGGACCACCTGCTCAGGGGTGGCACTGGCACAGTTGTCTGGGCCCTCCCACATCAATCATCAGTCAAGACAGGGCCCCACAGACATGCTCACGGGCCAATCCAGTGGAGGTGATTCCTAAACTGAGGTTCCCTCTTCCTAGGTGACTGTAGTTTGTGTCAAATTGATAAAAAAAAAAAAAGCCCTAACCGTCATATCATCTATCATAGACCCTGAGGAGAAATGGTAGAAAAGAGTATAAAGCCTGGACCCCCAACGTCCCTCCAGCAAGGCAGATGTCAAACGGATGACACTACACTAGAGCCCTTCACATGGATACTAAACTTTGGGGGCAGATAGGGGTTGGAAATATTATCAGTAAAATACAATAAGCTGTATGTGTTTGCCCCTCATCTGGTGAAATATTATCTGTCCCCCAAAAGCCAATATGTTTTATCAGGGCCTCCTTAAGTCTAAATGAATAGACAAAGAAGCATGGTTGAACGGTAAAATTAGAGGGACTGTACAACAGCCCTGTGTCTAGACTGAAGAGCCCCTTGGGGGTATTTCCAAACGTCTGCTATGGGTGCAAGTGAGATAAATGTGCTTACTAGGCAAACCTGACAAGTGGGTTCGATCCTAGGACTCCACTGTGGAAGGAGAGAACTGATTTCTGAAAGTTGTCCTCTCACCTACACACACACACACACACACACACACACACACACACACACACACACACACACGAACTCACAAATAATAAATGGAATTTCATATTTAAATCTACTATGATGTGTACAATATTATTTATCAAACCAAAAATATCAGTAAATTAAAAGAAGCAAAACTGAGAAAACATTCTGTGACCTGTGTTGTGGTTGGAATGTGAAATGTCCCCACAGTCCCCGTGCTTAACCACTTGGTCTCCTGCTGTGAGAGCTTAGGGAGGATGTAAAACTTTGGAACTATGACCTAGCTAACAGAAGTGGTTCTCTGAGGGGAGGCTGGGAACTTGAAGGTGATACCTGCTCCAGTTCTGGCTGGATCCCTGCGTCCTAATCTGCCAGGGTGTGAATGCCCACGCCACAAGGTCCACCACCACAGACTCAGTGGCTCCAACCACCATGCTGTCCTGCCAGAATGGACTGTGTCCCTTGGAACTCTGAGTCAAAACAAGCTTTGTGACACTTGTGGCTTCCTTCAGGTTTTCTGTCACAGTAATGAGAAATATGACTAATGCTCTTGCATAAAATTTAAAAAAGAACTCCAATTTTACAGCAAGTGATGCTTTGTGTCCAAACATTCCCACTGTGCCCAAACTTGGTCCTCTGGTACAGATGGGGTGGATGAGATTCGGCACTACACTTACTGAGGAGCTGTTGCTAGCGGGTAGTTGCAGGGATGTGATGTCTGGTAGGCTACCCATGCTTCAGTGGATGCCCACACAAGGACAGCTCTAAAGGGGCTTACTGCATTATCAAAAAAAAAAAGCATAAAGTGGGATGGGGGTATGTTGGGAGAAGAGTTGAAGGGGAAAATGGGGGAAGGGTTTTATCATATGTATGTTTTAAATTCTCAAAAATAAAGAAAAATACTAGTGGCTACCACAGGCTGATGCTGATCCCCCTTTCCACACATTTCAAGATTTCTAATGAAATTGTGTAGTCTTGCAGAAAGTACACATCAGCACAGATGTGTATGCGTGTGTGCACACCCACGTGCATAGGCCTGCACCCATGCACACAGTTCCAGAGGTTAGTAATACAGTTCCTCACTTAAATAATCCCTGTTCTTGAGAAAGAAACTGAGGCCGAGTTTCTAATTTAGTCTTTCAAGTCACAAATATAACGAGAAATGTCCCTCCCCCGCACTGGGCTCCAAACAGTGCACAGAAAATGGAGAGAGAGAGGTCCACTGTACAAGCCACGGCGGACTCTGCGGTTTCCGCTCACGCTTTTAGCATCTATAAATACACTCCTAGCCTGTGAATAAATTCTTATCTAAAGCAGAAGAAAGAAATAGGAAAGGGGTGAAGACAAGGCAGGAAAATGTACCAGTGACAAGTTCAAATGCTGGTAGGGTTAGGACAGGCTCTTAAGTATCTCAGGATGGAGGGCATGGGGGTAAGGGACAGGATGGAGGGCATGGGGGGAACAGGATGGAAGGCATGGGGCTAAGGGACAGGATGGAGGGCATGGGGGGAACAGGATGGAAAGGATTGGGGGGGTGAGGGCGGACAGGATGGAGGGTATGGGGAGGGGCAGGATGGAAGGGCATGGAGAAGAACAGGATGGAAAGGATTGGGGGGTGAGGGCAGACAGGATGGAAGGCTACAAAGGGAACAGTTGCATTTCCAGGTCATGAGAGGAGCCTAAAGAGGAAAAGAGGATTTCTCTTGTTACAGGTGACTGGCTCTTTCCCAAACCTAGCTTCTAAAGTTCACAAATTAGACTAAATGTGAAGATATATTGGTTCTGCCAACTATTAAACAGATCAATATAAATCTGTCCTGTTTTTCTAGAGTCTTTTTTTTTTCAGTGTCTGGAGAAATGCCACAGAGTCATTTTCATGACTCTCTCAATTCATCTCTTCCCCTACCACACGTGTTCCTTGCAGATGCTCTGATGCCAATCAAAGCTGAACTGAGTATGCCCTCAGGACACCCACTAGGATGGGTGGCCACTCATGGGTGATTACCCAGTGGGCTAGGCTTTGTCTCCCACAAACTGTGGGGCTGTAGATGATCTCCCTCCTTCCCCCTCCTCTCTCTGCCTCCTCCTTCTCCTCCTCCTCCTCCTCCTCCTCCTCCTCCTCCTCCTCCTTCTCTCTCTCTCTCTCTCTCTCTCTCTCTCTCTCTCTCTCTCTCTCTCTCTCTCCCCTGTCTCTCTCTCTCCAGGCTCTGGCTCCTAGGTATAAAATGTGAAGCTGCTCTCTGATATTGCAGATCAATAAACACAGAAAAGACGTTAAAGACTGCACAGACTAAGGAGAGCAGCAACAGAGGCATGTACTTTATTTAATACTGGGAGAGAAGGGAAGACTGGGATACTGCTCCCAGTCTTTGCATTAATCACACTCTGGGTTCCTGTCAAGAATCTGCATCTAAAAAGAAACAGAGTTGGAGGTACAGTTCAGCGGTTCATGTATGAGGTCCTAGGTTCAATCCCCAGTATAGCAAAAAACCAACAAAAACAGTGTTAACTTTATCATACGAGACCAATGGGCAAGCCAGGCATGGTTGTGCACACCTTTAATCCCAGCACTTGGGAGGCAGAAAACAGGCAGATCTCTGTGAGTTCGAGGCCAGCCTGGTCTACAGAGTGAGGTTCTAGGACTCTTACACAGAGAACCCTGTCTTGACAAGAAAGAAAGAGAGAGAGAGAGAGAGAGAGAGAGAGAGAGGAGAGAGAGAGAGAGAGAGAGAGAGGGAGGGAGGGAGGGAGGGAGGGAGGGAGGGAGGGAGGGAGGAGAGAGAGAGAGAGAGAGAGAGAGAGAGAGAGAGAGAGAGAGAGAGAGGAGAGAGGGAGGGAGGGAGGGAGGGAGGGGAGGGAGGGAGGGAGGGAGGGAGGGAGGAGAGAGCAAATGGGCAAGGACAAATCTGCTTGTTCCTATCTCACTAGCCCTTCAGGGTCAGCTCCTGCTTCTCACACAAAGTCTTCAAGTAGACTCCAGTAGACTCCACTGACCATTCTTTTCTCTGACTGCCCCCAGCCCTACAGTTTGTCTATGTTGTTTACAGTTAAACCTGGCTATTTTTTCTCTGCTGTTTCCTGTTTCATACGTGCAGATCCTGTTTGTCTAATAACATTAGCAGCTTCTTTGACTGTCTTCTTCATGGGCATTGCCTATGCATGCACAAAAACAAACGACTCACATCTACAGGTGGCTAGAGAGATGGCTCAGTGATTAAAAACGCTTGCTGCTTTTGCAGGGGACCTAGGGTCAGTCCCGGCACCACTCTGACACTCACAGCTGCCTACAATTCCAGTTCCAGGAGATCTGATGCCCTCTTCTGATCTCCTTGGACTCATACACACACGTGGGGCACATTCATACACTCAAGCACAGACACAGGAATAAAACTAAATAAATAAACATTTTTAAAACATAAAAAACACCTTTTAGAAAAAAAAATTAAATTGCCAAGCTAAAAATTTGGACACATGGCTAGAAAATTTTGTAGACAACAGGACAAGTGTTCTTTCTATCCATAGGCAAATGACTTCCTGAAAGCAACAGTTTTTTCATCCTAAGTCCTCCAATTATTTCTTAGGTACTTGTTGAACCTTATGATGCGCCAGGCATTATTCCTGTCATTAAGAGGTGTGGTGACCACACAACTTGCCTTCTGCAACAAAACAATGTATATGTGCATGGGATTATTTTTACCAAACATCTCAGTACGCTTTAGTTACCCATAATGTATTGCACCCAAAAGTCAAAGCTTGGAAAGTTTTCTCTATGGTCAAGTGGTCAAAAAATCAAAACTACGGTATTTACATTTTAGTGTTTCCCCCCAAAAAAAGAAAAAAGAAAGAAACAAAGCAAACCCCATCTCCAAACACCAACAGACCCATCCTTCCAGCCCTACCCAATGGGGAAAAGATTTATTTTAGCTCATAGTTTCAGTCCATCGTGACAGGAAAGCGTAATTAACGGCAGCAAGAGCACATGGAGGGGGATTCCAGGTTGTGGTGGACGGGGGAAGCAGAAAATGGAGCTTGGACAAAGTGGACTGGGCTACAACCTTCAAATGATTGCCTCTAGCAGTCTCCTTTGGCCAGTGAGCAGAGCCTCCTAAAGGTTTTACAGCTTCCCGAAACAGTATCGCTTGCTGTGAAACAAGTGTTTGTCACATAAGCCTGTGGGGGACAATGCAGATTGATACTGTAACACTCAGCCTAAGAAGAACTACAGAGAAGCGGGAGAGGGGGCAAACTCCTCCCACTCGCCCTGGAAATGAGAGGGCCCAGCCAATCCCAGCCCAAGATGGGCTTCATCTTTTTCACACAGAAGAGGAAGCTGCCTCCGTCCACACAGTCACTTCTATCCCTGTTTTCTGCAAAATGCCCACCTAACACATGGCCTTAGACACATGGCCTTAGGGACGGAAGACCTGAGAGGCAGATGATAAACCAACACAGTTGCAAAAATAATTTATTGTACATGTTTTAAAATCATTATATATTAAAATTGCTTTCAAAAGAGTACACACATAGGGAGGTTCACATTTGATGTGTAAAAAAATAAAAGGGGAAGAAGAAACATCCACCTGCTTCAGCAGTTTAAGGAACTATACTGAAAATGAAACAATAAATTACAATATAGCAATTATTATTACTATAGTATATAGTAGTTAAATAAGAAAGCAAATTCACATTGTCCAGAAGCCTACACTTGACACAGGCTCACATAGCTGCCTGTCGCACTGACCTGCATCCATGGCTAATCCATCTAAGGTATCAGGCTGGGAGATTTCTCATTATACAACAATGAAAAAAAACCTCTGTCCCAGAAAATATCCAGGAAGACAATTACCCCAACAAAACAAATATTCTATTCCCTCATGACAGACATTCTCTATGTACGGAGGACTGATACAGTCACTAACTTCCTCCTGGCCTTCCAAGGGATGGGTATGCCTCTTTTGACAGTTTCAAAAGGACAGCGATCCTCTGCTTAGCGACCATCTGCCATAAGACACACAGGCAACAACTCAAGAAACTGTGTCCTACAGGAAGGCTGGTGGCACCAGGTGATGCAAAACCAGTGTGTGGTATCAGCAGCAGGAAATAAGTAGTCCTAATGATCCTTTGATGACTTTTACAATAACAATAATAAACACTCTTAAAGGACAGAGCATGTTCAAAACTCACAGACTTATGTTTAAAAAAAAAGATACTGAGGCATCTCAGGAACAATAAAGAAAAGAGAAACAAGACGCATTGAACATATTTCCAAATGTAACACTCAGTGATATGCCTGAGCTCAGCTGTTCATACACCTATGCAGGTGGAGGTAGTGGAGGTAGATGAAGAGCTATGCTACTTAGGTCTTGGAAGTATCTTTCTCTTCCTCCCACCCTTAGTTTAGGGGTCCATGAAATATAATTGTGTGGGGGACTCCAGCTTGAATGACCAACTGACTTGGTTTCCCTCTCCTTCCCCTGACTACTTGCTTTTGCCTTGCCCCATCAGCTCAGGCTAACAGAACCTGCCTAAAACAAAGTCAGGTACTATCCTTGCTCTACAGGAATAGCATCCATGTGTGAGTAGAGGCAGCCAGTGCTTCAAAGGCAGCAGGAATCTCATGCTGTGGGGTCTTTGATCCATCCCAGACCTCATCTAGCACCTGAACCCCACTGGGACAGCTCTCATGAACAGCTTTCACGAATTCTGGATATGGAGCCAGACTTCCTATCTGTGCAGAATCAGTGGGAGGACCATCTCCTCCTTCTGGCCACTACTAGATAGGTTTCTGAATTCTCTTCGCTCTGAAACTGCAGAGCGCTGCTTTCCAACACAGACCAACCTCCACCACTTCATTCTAGAAAGAAGACAAAGACAAACCAAAGTTACTGCCAGGCTTAGTTTTCATTGTCCACATGACCTGAAACAGAATCACCCGGGAAAAGAATCTCAACGAGGGGTTGACTAGGTCATCTTGGCCTGTGTGTCTGGGGGTGGGGAGCAGCTGGCAGGGGGGAGATGCTGTGTTGATTGCCTTAATTGATGTGAGAGGGCTCAGTCTGAAAGTGGGCAGTGCCATTCCCCAATCTGGAGCTCTGGATTCTGCAAGAGTAGAGAAAATAGATGAGCACTAAGTGTGAGTGTGTTCATTCCCCTCTGCTCTTGACGGTGGCTCTGATGTGACTAGAAACTGGAAGTTCCTGCTGCCCTGAGCTCCCTGCAGTCACGAACTGGAACCTGAAATCGGGTTTCATCCCAGCCACAGAAGTGAAACTAGGCCAGTCACTAATTTCCAAAAACCAAAATGGCTTTGAACATTTGTGTTTTTGTATATGGTTTTATTGAGTCTGAGTATAAAAATCTTAGGCCAAATTGGGATCGCCGTCAGTTCTAAATAGAGAAACTTTACTCTCTGTATGCCTGCACAAATGCACACAGGCATATATGTAGACATACATGCATGCTGAATACTCTTCAAAAGGCTCATTTACTTGCAAAATAATTCATATTTTATTTGCAAAGCAAATGGATGCTCATTTATTTTGGTACAATCAGTGATAAATATGCTGGAGCCTTTTGGATAATGAAGGCATTTTGACATTTGACACTTCTTTGTGATCTAACTGTGACAACAGCTAAAGTTTGAGCACCTCCAATCACCTTCAGTGTGCCAGGAGAAACTGACAAGGAACGTGGTGTTGGGTGGCTGGCTTAGGTGGAGGTACTCACATCGGCCCTGGTGGACACTACATGGAGAGAGGCTGATCTTCTGCGGTGGGGTTCTCAGTAACCATGGTTGATTCTTTCCTACGATGCCTTCTCACTACTCTATCTGCTTATGGGTTGTAAGTTCCAGAGCAAGAGAGTGGTTTGAGGAAGAGTGAATGGATAAATGATTGGACACAATGCAAGGCACCAACACTGCCAAACCAGGCCACCGGTCCTAGTCTGTTCACTTGCTCATCATTCCAAGTCCCGCTTCTTGGCTTTCTCTACTTACCATAGAGCAAGAGAGATTCCGGATCAAGCCCGAGACTCTCACAACTGGATATATTCTTATCGTGAAGGTTCTGTCTCATAATGCCAAGCACCAGCTCTTCACTCATCATGTACTCCATGAAGCTATCATCTTCAGCTGGAACTCCGAACTGCAAGTGATAGGTTACCGTGGCGTTTTCAACACTGGAAGCCAAACCAGTAAAACAGACAGACAGACATTATAATGAATAAATGGAATCACAGTGAGGCTGAGGCTCAGAAACCACTTTTAGCATTAACACTTCTTTAGCTCCACATCTTCCCGTCACCAGCTTCAGAGGGTACACTAGCCTAGGAGAATGCTCTGCCTAGAGCCCTCCTCCTCCGGCCATCACACAACCACCACCAACTGCTCACACTTTAGGGGTCCACTGAGAGTGGCCTTTGGAAGAGCAGGACACAGCCCAGCTATCATAAAGAAAGACTGAGAGTTGTCACAGCACCCATACAACATCAGCCTTTCATACTGCAGAGCGAGCAGGGAGCCTGACCTTTCCCCCCTTCCTCCATCCCTATTCCCCTGTTCTCAGGGCTGCCACCATGTGGACACAACAGAGCTAGTCAGTTTAATGAGTTCTTTAAAAATGTTTATTTATTCTTTTGTAAGTTTTCGCACAGACACACACACACACACACACACACACACACACACACACACACACACACTTGATCATACGCTCTCCCAAGTTTAACCAGTTAACCTATAAAAATGATTATGGTCTGACCCAAGGCGCATTACCCTGAGCTAGCTCCAGACCTCTTGATCTCCCAGAAAATGCCCTGTGCACCAGCAGTGAGTCATACATACCTCCTGTGTTTGGGGGGTGGGGTGGGGATGCTTCCCATGTCCACTTCCGGAGTCCTCTAAGTCATGATGACCAAATTTATCTTTTAGTAATGAGGCCTAAGGAATTTTCAACCCTGAGGAGGCCCTAACCCTTTTATCTTTCAGGACACATTTTTTTTTCCAATTTTTTTATAGTGAAAGTAATTATAGTTCTATCCTTAATTAGTAGCTTGAGCTGCCCTTTAGACACTACCTCACAGTTATTCTATTTCTATGGTCAAAATGACCCAGATTAGGCTCAGCAATAAAAAAAAATTAACAAGCAGTCACATCAGAGAGATTCTTCCAGGAGGAGTTTTATAGATGCTTCAGTCTCTTAATCAGGCCACTGCCCTTCTAAGGATAGGCAAAGAGCGCCCTCTTGAGGCCATACATCACATAGGCTAATGACTGTACATTTTAAAATGCAGGGGATGACTCAGTTTGTTAACTTTCCCAAACAGCAAAGAAGTGTGCCAAGCTCTGTGAACCAAATAAACAACGAAGTTTAGACTCTAACAAAGCCCAGGTACCAGTATTCCACTAAAGGTAGGCTTAAAAGCCCATTTTTTTACTCCATTCCAGCTACCCGAGGTTGTGGGTGTCCTTAATTATCCCTGAGCGGTGTGATTTATCACTAAGGAGGATGGCCAGGAGGGCAAGAAGCAACCCTCCATGCTCACTGCTAAGGATCTGGGCTAGCTAATGAAAGGGGCCTGAGGTGGACTTTCAGAATATCAAGCTGGAAGCAAAGTAAGAGTATCAAGCTGCCCGACCCAGTCTTCGAACTCCATCCCGGTCGCCCCTGCCTCCCCAACCCCAACTCCCCAGGTGGATTTACAAAGGGCAGAAATTTGAGAGATGTTTTCCTATGGGCTTTCCCACAGCTGCCCACCACTGCAGTGGGTCCGGCAACTGATACAACAAACAGTACTTTCAGGTTTCTCCTGAGCCAATCCTGGTCCAAGGTCAAGAACTCTCTGTAGACACAAATGCATGAGCCACGGACAGGGATCTCTTTTCCCACATGCAAGGGCAATCTTTTAGATGTGGTGATCTTTGTTTCTCAGGTCAATATTTTCAAAACGTTAAGTAAGCTTTTAAAATACAACAAAAATGTGGGGTATGGCTTGGTTGGTGGATTGTTTGCGTAGCATGTATGAAACCCTTTAAACCCTGGTACTACATAAAACCTGGCGTGATGACACATGCCTGTCATCCCAGCATGCAGAGGCAGGAGACTCTGAAGCTTAAGGTCAACCTTGGTTACATGAGTTTGAGGTCAGCTGGACTACATCAGACCCTTTCTCAAAAACGGGGGTGGGGGGGTGGGGGGGTTGTACCAGGCAGTGGTAGCACACAATTTTAATCCCAGCACTTGGGAGACAGAGGCAGGTGGATCTCTGATTTCAAGTTCAATCTGGTCTACAGAGCAAGTTCCAGGACAGCCAAGGCTACAAAGAGAGAAACCCTATCTAGAAATATATATATATATTTATTTATTTATTGTAGAATTTCTTTATCGGAAATACTAAAGTCCTTGGATTTTTCTTTCAAAAAAACTTTTTTAAGATCTGTGTGTGTGTGTGTGTGTGTGTGTGTACATGGGTGCATGTGTGCATGCATGTGTGTGTATGTATGTGGTGTGTGTGTGTGTGTGTGTGTGTGTGTGTGTGTGTGTGTGTGTGTGTATCCATAGGGATGTTAGATCCCCTGGAACTGGAGTCAGGTGGTTGTGAGCTACCAAACATGGGTGCTGGGAACTGAACTCAGGTTCCCTGGAAGAGCAGAAAATGCTCTCAACAGCTGAGCCATCTCTTCAGCCCCCAAATAACTTGTAAAAACAAATTCTTTAGGGGTTTGGGGATTTAGCTCAGTAATAAAGCGCTTGCCTAGCAAGCAAGCTTAAGGCCCTGAGTTTAGGCCTCAGCTGGGAGTGGGGGGTGGAGAGTTCTCTAATATTACATCTTGGCCGGACTTCTAGAGCTGTTTTGCTCAGTTTTCTGGTGCGTTTCCACAATGTCTACTAACCCCAGATTCTTTATATCCATAGTATAAGGACAGACTCTTGGAAAGACCTATCTAGAAATATATATATATATATTTATTTATTTATTGTAGAATTTCTTTATCGGAAATACTAAAGTCCTTGGATTTTTCTTTCAAAAAAACTTTTTTAAGATCTGTGTGTGTGTGTGTGTGTGTGTGTACATGGGTGCATGTGTGCATGTGTGCTCTGGGGTGGGGGAATCATCCTCCCTCAGAAAGTTGGGTCAATCAAAGCATGTGAGGTCTGGCTGTGCACTTCTCCCTTTCCTACTTCCATTTTTGTGCTGGTGACCTATGATGAAAGGCAGCAGGGTCAGAATTGGGCAGCATGTGCCTACAGAGACTTATGGAGAAGAAGGACAGTGGCCCCAGACTTCAGATCCTTTCTGGTCCTACCCCACCAGGTCAGCACTGGTGTCTACTGACACTCTGGCTTGAGTGGGAGGGTCTCAATACATAACACGGACTTGGGTGGCTACCTCCCAGTGACACCTGAGGACCAATGGACAATAAGGCTTTGTCACGGAAATCTTGTTTAAAATACTTCCAGTCATGTCTGTGATATAAAATGATAATTAATTAAATGACTACCTACACACACACACACACACACACACACACACACACACACTCTTTGGTCTATATCCTCAAACTATTAAAAAATACATGGAATTAAAAAGAAAAAAGTATGTGTATAGACACACACACTGTATATAATAAATATGTTCACAGGAAAAAAACCAAGGCAAACAGTGAGGGATGTTAATTTTGTAGGGGTGAGAGTAATTAATTAGTCATCAGTGGTAGCACATAAAGGAGGCAGAAGATAGACGTAGCTGACAGGTGTGTCTGTGTATTCTTAATATTACATGAGGAGAATATAGTCCTAAATCACTTTTGTGCCATATAGATCATGTCACTTCCAGTACATCACTCTCTGAGATTTATGTCTATTTCTGCCTTTAATTTATTTGCGTATCTTTTGTTAAACAGAAATGTTTCCCTTGGACAGACTTTTCCTCTCTGTGTGTGGCCTTAGTTGAATCACATAGTTAGTCTGTGATTTCCTTTTTTTCTGCATTGTGAGATATCAACTGAGCTAGGCAGTTTCCAGAAACCATCCCAGCATGACACTGTGATTCTATTATCCGCCCCTTTCCTGCACCAAGGCTCAAGGAAATCATTGTGGGGAAATAATGATGGCTTGGGAAGGTGGGTGGGTGTTCTTCTGAGAAAGATAGTAAAGTTCTGTGCTCTTACCTGAAGTCCACGATGTCAGCAGAAGTGAAATAACGGCTCAGAGATGGGGACTCTTTATACGTGTACGTGAGCTAAAAACACAGCAAGAAAAAAAAACATACAAGTCACTTGTGACCATCTTACACATCACCTACAAAAGCATACGACTACAGAACAAAGAGGAATTCACTGCTAGGAATTCACTTGTCTAGGAGCTCTGGACTAAGAGTAAAGAAGCTGACCACAGATCAAAGCTCAAGTTAACACTCAGTGAGTTCTCAATGTTCTAACTAATAGAGTCTCATTGAGAGCCAGGTACATGCCTATAATCCCAGCATTTGGAAAGCTGAGGAAGCCAGACTGCCCAGGAGTTCAAGGTAAGCCTGGTCTTCATAGTGAGTTCTAGGTCAGCCAGGGCTACATAATGAGACTGTAAAAAAAAAAAAAAATCAAAATGGGTTCATTGCTAAGGTCCAAGTGACTGGCTGGGAGTTCTCAACATCGCTTATGAGTTGAGCTGGCACTTGGTATCCTTAGTGGTACTATGGTCAACGATCCTTAACAGAAGCTCACAGAAGCACCACTAAACACTGGGGGCAGTGGGGCCAGGGGAAGGGATCAATTCAGCACGAGTCACTCAGCATCAGGGACATCACTGTTCATGGGCTTCTTTCTCCCTTCTGCAGAACTTGTTAGGAGAAATAGCTATCCTGAGTGTCAGGTCCAGCACTTGCCCAGGCAAGGGGAAAAAAATGATGAAGTTCCAAAGATATGGATGCTTTGCAGTAAAAGTTGCATGCATCCTAAAACATGACAACACCCATGTTTCCACCACCTACGCTTCATGCCTTCACATTTTGCTATGCAGTAGCTCCATAGTCTATGACAGAGTTATTTTCTGATAAAACAAATTCAGATTGAAATTATCAAAAGTCAAAAGCATACAAATGGGGGAGTAAGGGTAGGTTGAGGCTGCAAAGGAAGGCCCATGAGATTGGGCAAATGAATCTTTAAGAGAGAGGGCGGGGAGACTAATACAACCCATGTGCTGTGAAAGAGGAAGAGGGAATTCCTAGGGCAGATGAGTATGGCAAGGATAGGGCCTAGGAGACAGGAGAGAGGAGCCGATGGGAGAAACAGACAAAACTGTGGGTGTATGAAAATACCATAAGGAAACCTGTTACTTGGTATGCAAATTAAAAAGGATAGAAATGCATTTAATACATCTAACATACTCAACATTGTGGCTTAGCCTGGTCTACTTTCAACATGCCCCCAAACACTTTTCTTTCATTAGCCTATAATTGGGCAGACCAATCTAACACAAGCCTGTTTTATAGTAAGGTGCTATACTCATGCAAATTGTCTAAATATTGTCATTAAAGCCAAAACCAGAAAGGCTGTATATGTGTGCTTTTACACCACCAAAAGTCTTGGAACTGTAAGTTAAGAATTGAGGACATTCTTTCTCCCTTCCAGGGTACTAACCATCATCCTGACATTGGTATCTAGCTTTTCTTCTATGTTTAGGAATCACTACTTCTTTATAGAATCATAACAACACGTGATTTATATTTTTATTCAAATAAAATGTATTCTATACAATATTCTAAGAGCTGCTTTTTTGTTTGTGTTTGTTTTTTGGTTTTTTTTCTTTAGATACATTTTCAATATCTTACTCAAGCTGGTCTCAAACTCCTGACTCAGTATCTTCCTGCCTCAGATTCCCAAGTAGCTAAGACCACAGATGTGTACCATTGTGAGCAATTTAAGATTTGCTTTTTTTTAACTGAAAATTACATTTGAGATTTATGCCTAAAAAACATCTCAGTGAAGGCCCTTCAGTCCATCTCCCACATAGACTGTGTTAAGTCATTACCCCAGCTCATCCATTTCCCCACTGATGACCATATGACTTCCTTCCATGTTGTCTCTGTCATAGACTGTGCTGATGCAATCATCCCCAGACATCTCTGTGCACCTCTTTATTCACGTGAGAATCTCCCTGAGGTATGCAGCCAGAAATGGAATTATTGGTCCAAAAGCAGTTGCATCTTCAACTCAACTCATTCTTGCTAAATGTCCCCCATTTTTCTCTCCTTCTTGCACTCATACTCATTCAGTTCCCCATATTCTTACTAGACTTAAAAACTTTTTCCAATCTGGGGAATGTAGGATCATGTCTCACATTGTATATACTGCCTTTCCTACTAGAGGGGGAGCACCTTTCCATGTGTTCAACTCTTTAGGACCTCTTACCTCTGAATCATCGGTTATTTTCTTTTCTAACTTTTTCCTATCTATTTGGAGTGGTTTGTTTTATTTTCAGACAGTAGTTGTTGGTATTATGTGACATCATCTTTTTCTGATCTTTAAAAATTATTTTTATTTCTCTGTGTATTTGTCTGCATATCTGTACATGTACTGCACATGTACTTGGTGCCTATGGTGGCAGGAGAAGGAATTGGATTCCCTGGAACTAGAATTACAGATTTTGTGTGTAAGCAGAATTTTCTGTCTTGCCAGCAACTCCCAAATACCCAGCAGCTGCTTCCCAAATTACCACACAGAGACTTCTATTAATTATAAATGTTTGGCCAGTAGCTCAGGCTTATTACTAATTAACTCTTACACTTAAATTAGCCCATAATTCTTATCTATGTTTAGCCATGTGAATACTGGGAACCAAACCTGTGTCCTCTGCAAAAGCAAAAAGTGCTCTTAATAGCTGAGCCATCTCCCTAGCCTGATTTTCTAGGCATTGATTAGTCCTTCCATCAAGTTTCAAAGATACAAACACTAACTGCTTTGTAAGGGAACATGTGGCTGATGGAATTTACACTATGTTCCTTCTACATTTACATTGGAAAGTTAAAACCTTTTTCTCCAACACGCTAGTTCTAGGATAAGTCAGGACTAGGATCTGGCACCACTCTCAGCATGGGAAGAGCTCTGGCATTAGTAACAGCTACATCAAAAGCAAGACTGGATCCACTCCTACCCAGCCAGCAGCCTCCACCCAGACACTGCTCTGGGCCTCTCACTTTACTGGTGGTTACCTTGAGATGAGCTAGCCATTCCCAGGTATACCAGAAAGGCTTGGTGAGCCATGAATTTATCAAATAGTAAGCACTGCAACATACAACACCTAGTAGAACCCTATGAAGGTGCACACCTTCCTTCCTACCTAATCTCAAGAAGGCTGCACAACCAAGCACTCCCACCTAACTCTATGGAAACTCAGTGATACCAGAGAAGATCAAGCAATGGAGGGACGCATCTTCCACTGAATTATGAAGAAATGGAAAAAACATAACGTAATAAGAGCTTTGCGACAGGGGGCAGGCGGGGAGAAAGAAGTCATCTCAGTTCTTGAGTTCCAGTATGAAGAAGATGGATGGTGGACAAGAGGGGACATTCAGGTTCTGGAAGGCAACTTTCACTGCTCAGCATGAAGGGAAGGTGGTGGCAGGTAGAGAATGCTGCAAAGAATGTTTGCCCAGCACTAAAAACACTGATAATAAATAATAACCATTTGCCTCCCTTCTTGTAGATTGTGCCAATCATTCTTTGTAAAAACTTACGTGTGTGAGTTTAATGTATTTGTGTGTGTGTGTGTGTGTGTGTGTGTGTGTGTGTGTGTGTGTGTGTGTGTGTGCACCTGTATGGAGCCCAGAAGTCCTCTTTCCCTGTTGCTCTCCACCTCACCTTTTGAGCTAGTCTCCCTCCCTGAATCCAGAGCTCATCAAGTAGGTGGCCAGCAAGCTCTAGGGAACTCCCAGTCTCCCATTCCCCACTCTCTCACCACACATGGGATTATAGGTTCAGGCATCCATGCCTGACTGCTTCACATGGGTTTTGGGGATCCAAACTCAGGTCTTCATGCTTCCACAGCCATTCTCCCCAACACCTACCATTATTCCCAACCTGCTCTTTGCCCACACTCCTTCCTAAGTCCATCCTAGGATCTAGAACTCTGTTTGCACATAGCAGACTCTTAGCAAAATGGTCAAAGCTAAAATTGCAAATTAAAAGATGGAATTCATGGCTGGTGCACAGTTAGTGCACACTCTAAGGGTCTTTTTGTTGTTGGATTTGAGACATATCAGCATTTCCTAAGAGATCTCTTGATAACTTCAGTAACACCCTTAATGGCAATGTTCAAAATCTCACTGATAATCTCTTTCACAGAGATTGCACTCTTGGCTTTAACTGACTCATTCCTCAGAATGACAGAAATGCTGCCTACTAAATAATCAAGGAGGGATGATTGCCCTGGCTGGCACTTCTCATTGCACACATAGCTATACTGGTATTACAAAAATTCAGTTATAAAAATTAACAAAAACACTACTTGGTGAGATAGAGATATCTCATGCTTTGATCTACTTGATTTTACATTGTGTTCATAGGACTCCTAGTCACAGAGCATATTCCAAGCTCCAGAATAACTGTCCACTTGATAGTTGTAATAGCAATGTTTATGGTGTACAATATCCTCTGAAAATTGTTTTTGTTCCTACAATCCTTCCTCCCCCTCCTCAGCGGAATTCCCGAGCTCTGCCTAATGCTTGACTATGAGTCTCTGCATCTGCTCCCATCAGTTGCCAGATGATGATGCTCTGATGACAATTGAGTTGGCATCAATCTATGAGTACAGCAGAAGGGATTGAAGACACCACAAGAACAGGGCTCATATGGGCTCACAGAGGCTGAAGTGACAAACATGGACCCTGTATGGGTCTGATCTAGGTCTTGTGCATACACCTTATAGTCGCATAGCTTAGTGTTCTTGTAGGACTTCCAACAATGGGAGTTGGGGTGTCTCTGACTCTTTAGCCTGTGCTTGGGACCCCTTTTCCTCTTGCTGTGGGTTGCCTCATCCAACCTTGATATGAGGGTTTGTGCCTAGTCTTATTGTATCTTGTTAGGCCATGTTCTGTGGATACCAATGGGAGGCCTGCTCTTTTTTTTTTTTTTTTTTTTTTTTAAGGAAAACAAAGGAAGAGTTGATCTGGGAGAGAGAGAAGGTTGGGGCAGGGACTGAGAGGAGTGGATGGAGGGGAACCTGCAGTTGGAATGTAATGTAAGAGAGAAGAATAAGGGTTTTTTTTTAAGTGTTTTTGTTTGGGCATTTTTACTTCTTCATTTAGTTTGGTTGGTTAGTTGGTTTGCTTTGGTTTTGGAGACAGGGTTTCACTCTGTAGGCTAGGTTGGGATGGAACTTTATTGTATAGCCCAAGTTGCAATCTTCCTGTCTCAACCTCCTAAGTACTGGAATTAGAGGCATTAGTCATTCTACCTACCTACTCAAAAGTTAAGTGTTTAATAATCTGTTGACATTAAGTGTGCTATCCTTGGCTAGAATAACATCAGAGAACTGTGTAAACATGAAGGCACCAGGAGCAAGGAATGATGGGTTGAGATTAGAATATCAGAATGGCAATAATTGAGGGTAGCTCCAATGCACTGTGTTTTCATTGCACTTTTACCAGAGTGGAAGATGAAAACTGAAAGATGAGAACTGTTAAATAAAAATTACAGGAGGGTAGCTTGAGAGAGTGGTTAGGGGTACTTCCTGCTCTTGTACAGGACCCAGCTTCCCAGCACCCATATCAGGTGACTCACAACCCATCTGTCTCCAGTTCTGGTGGATCTGACACCCTCTGGCCTCCATGGACACTGGCCATGTGATGCATATAAACTCACAAAGGCACACATACATACTCATAAATAAACTATTTGAAATCATTTAAAAAATATGGGAAGTCTTTGCTGTTGTTGTTTTTGTTACACTCCTGTACAGATCAAAGGTAAAACATCAAGACAAGGTCACAAAAGCTGGATTTCTGTCTTACCAGGCTGAAGCTAAGATGTGTATCCAACTGTCTGGGAAATCAGGATTGCAGTGACAGCCAGATTTCCCAAACAGGCCAGTTTCAACTTGTTTGATAATGAAGTTCCCCCAAGGCTTTATCTTTTCTTGTAAAAAAAAAAAAAACCCAATAACCTGAATCAATCTATGCTTCACAAACCAGTTATTTTTTGCCATTCCATCTCCCTGTCTCCACTTTACAAGGAAGCCATTTTGAATGATCTACCCACTCTTGTTTCATTATCCCTTTCTTCAAGCCTTTCTAGTTCTATAAAACCAAACTTTTGTGCTCAGACCACCAGAGGATTTATTCTTTTTATGGAGTAAGGTGTTCCACATGTCTAGGAGTGGAAGAAAGCCAATCAGTCACTGCATGGTGCATTACTGTAACTCACACTGGTGAGGTTAAAACAGGAGCCTGGAGACTAAGAAGACAGCATGGGCTGCATAGTGAGACCCTGCCTCAGAATATTCCTGGTTCTGGCGTGAACTCCCATCTTTGATAGCAAAGACTGACCCATGAAATCTGCAATCTGTCTGCAGAGCCTTCATCTTGCAGAAGACTCTCTACATTTCCTATCCCACAGATCATGCACCTAGCCTTCCAACCAGGAAGCTGGAGTTCTACTCTCCTTCTCCCCTTTCCAAACACTAACTTCCTCTCAGTAAAGATGTCTGTTAAATTGGAGCTCTTCCTTACCGCCCTCAAGGCTGCCCCAATTCCAACGGCCTTCATTTCTCAGATGCACTGCTGCATTACCTCAACACTAGTCTCTTCAAGTACTGTCCAATACCACACAGAAAGAAGAAAATGAAAATCTAACCACGTCAGTCTACAACTTAAAATCTTTGCATGGTCAACCCAAAAGTAGGGAGATTTCTGTGACCTGCTCCCTACTTTCCTATCTAGTTTAACCCCTGCGTGTCCTCAATACAGCATACTCAAGCTCAGTATACCACTGCACAGACTCCTGAAATGATACATATAGATACATATTGTGTTGTTCCATCTCCTGGTCCCCACTTTACAAGAATATATATAATGTTCATAATACAACTCACATAGTTTAGTTGTACCTCCTTTATGGATGTATGAGTATGAGGCACTGGGGAGATGACTCATTCAGTAAAGCATTTGCAGCATAAGCATGAGGATTTGAGTCCAATCTCCAGAACTCACATGAAAAGTCAAGCGTAATAGCACCTGCCTGTAATCACGGTGCTGGGCAGGCAGGGACAGCAGGATCCCTAGGGCACACTGGTCATCCAACCTAGTCAAACTGGATGCTCTCTGGGTCCCAGTGAAAAATGCTCTCTCAAAAAAATAATAATGAAGTGGAAAGCAATCGAAGAAAACACCTAATGTCAGCCTCTGGCCTCCACATATGCACATGTGCATGTACACACATAAATGGCATGTACACGTTTGCACACAAACACACACAGAATGCCAACAACACTGTGTGTTACTCAGCATTAGGACATCACTGTACTGTTTTTTAATTTTGATTGCTTCTCCTACTTGGACTTCCTCCTAAGAAAGGACTATGTGGCATTATCAAGTCACCAGTGAATACAGACCAGGTGAAATACAGGACTAGCATGTGTGAAGGATGCTGTCTTCTGGGATGCACACAGCTGGAGGCCAGGCCAGGCTCATTCCAGTTGCCAGCTTTGCCGCCTAAAGATGCATTTATAAGCATCTTCTGCTGTTCACTCTAGAGCTTTGCCGATTGCTCTAACAAAACTCATAATCCAATGTTCAGACCTCTGTAAACAATACATAAGGCATAATCACCCTTTTAGTGAGCGAGTGATGCAATTCCTCTTCATTAACACACTCCTCTGGAATCTTGAACACGATGAAGAAGGTTTTGTTTGATGATAATTCAGGTATTTCATTTTCATCTTCATCGATGTAAGTTACTAAAGAGATTCAGGGGGTAAAAATAAAGGTAAGGACATGCATAAAATAGTGAATTTAATAAAAACAGATGTGGTGTGCACACCTGTAATCTCAGAACACAGAGGCAGGGGAACCACTTCAAGTTCCAGGCCAGCTTGATCTACATAGCTAGCTCCAGGACACCCATGACTTCACGGTGAGACTGGATCTCAAAATACACAAAGCAAAGAAAAAAAAAGACATTCATTCTGTTGGCTTCTCTAACTAAACCTAACCTAACTATCCACACTCCTGGAAGCTAAAGCCTGGACACAGTCAGTAAGTATAAGCAGGAATACTTCCTTCAATCAGCAAAACAGAATAAAAGAGAGACGTTTGTCTTCATTGTGATCAATGTTTTGTTGGTTTTAAGGCAAAGAGGCCTCTGACACCACTGAATATAGGCCAGGAGAAGGACCAGGAGGAAAGAACTGGAAAACCGTGAACTTGTTTGCAACACTGAACCTGAAGGTTGTCTGGGTACTCAGGTGTCGGGACAAGCACCAGAAGACAGCATGGACACCTACAGGGAGTGACCGCAAGCAGCTTCCATGAACCAGCTTCCAGTTCAGTGCTGTCAAAGACCATGAAGAGAAAGTGACGCCATGGACAAGAATGGAGGTAAGACTAGAAAATGAGGATATGAGTTTATGTCTCCAAGCATTCCAAGAGACAGGGCATGGGCATGAAGTCATCACTCCAGCCTGTGTCCCACAGGAGAGGGATGAGTGCGTACTCTATTTGCAGAAGGGAAACCAAACTTCACTTGGAGCCCCAGGGCCTGCAGAGCAACTCCTAGGACAATGAGCTCTGTGTTGCTTGTGTTCTAATGACTAGAGCTAATTGATTTTTAAGCAGTTAGAGCTAGAGGAATGAAGGAACACCACACAAAGCCAGGAGCCAGGAGCCAGGAGCCAGAAGCTGGCACCGGCGTGCTTATGACTGCTTTCCTGGCTGGACTCCAGCCTCACAGGCTTGCTCCACACAGGGGGCCACCTCATCTGCCCTGTGAAAAGCGTGGGCTGCTGAGGAACAAGGTGCTCTCAGACTTCCCCCTCAAATTCTATGCATCATACGTAACCAGCTCTGCATCTTTTACTGGACTTCGAAAGGCCATCCTGAAATGATGTTTTCATCAGTGTTTGTGATAGAAACGCAGATAAAATTCAGGGTTGTACTGTCTCAAAAATCCAAGTGGAGAGCAATTGAAGATGACACCTGATAATCAACCTGTGACCTCTACATGTGCATGCACACACACAAATGAACATGTACAACAATCTTACCCAGCTGTGACCCCCGTGAACTACAATAACAACCAGTGTAGCAAAATATGCCCATGGATGCAATAGACACAAGAACGTTACAGGAATAACCAACTGCTCTCTAATTAGATTTAAGGTCCAGTCCACTAGAGAAAACTCATACCTGGTCTTGTAAAATCTGTCCAGGAGCCCATGATTAGGGAATCCATAGGCCACAGGAATAACCATACTGCTGTTATTCTGCTAAATGGACATAATAACAGCAAACTGCGGCTAAATTCCTATCTCTATATTCATAGATTAGTGACGAACTCAGACTTCATCAGAGAAGGTGGTGGTGAACATAGAAATTCAAACCTGATCAAAGGGCAGAGACTAGGTCTCGGCAGAGTGTTCAGCCATGGCTGGAACATCTACATCACTCTACCCACCACCAAAGCTCAGAGGCAATTGTGGAAGAAGGGTCAAAAAGATTGTAAGAACTCGGAATCAGGAAGACAAGAATTAAATGATGTCTTCTAGACATGAGGGACAGCTGCACTCATGAACTCATAGCAGCTGTGGTAGTCTGCAGAAGGCCCGCACGAGATCAGGCTGATCAACATCCTAACATGGAGGAAGGCGGGGCCCATGAGCCTCCACCTCCTAGGAGCTATTGGCAGTTAATGGCTTCTAGGGAAGGGAGAGACTTTTTTAATTTTTTATTGATTCTTTGTGGATTTCACATCACGCACCCCAATCCCATTCATCTCCCCCATCCCCTCATATCTGCCCTCTGCCCTTGTAACCTGCCCACCGAAAAATAAAATAAAATAAAATTTGAAAGAAAAAAATCTCGTCTTGGAGGCTGTAGTTTGTCATAGTGAGTCACACAGTTTACCCTTTAGTCCATACATCCTTACTTGCGAGCGTTCATTGGAATGAGTCATTGGTTTGGCTCAAGGCCTCTGGCTTCTGTTTTACTATCAATGCTAGGCCCTCACTTGGACTCCTTTTGAATATCCTGCTGTTGCCCTGTGTCATGGAGATCCTGCAGCTTTGGACTGCAGGAGCAGCCCCTTCACGTGCTCCAGTAGATCATAGATGGGGTGCACATTAGGGTGATCCATCTCATAGCCCTGGTTCTGGGCCTAGGTGGTAGCTGGGTTGGTCAGCCTGCCAGCACTCCCTTATCCTCCCCATGAGGCTAAGCTCTCCAGCACTGCCTGGCTAGCTCACCCAATGTTGCAGGCAACAAGGGGTGGGGCCAGTTCTCCTGCTCACACTCTCAGAGCTGGCTCACCTGCACCCACACACACCACCAGGGTCAGCTCTATATGCTGCCCAGGTGAGGTACAGCTCCCACTCTCCTGAGTTCTGCAGCTGGGGAGGGGCAGGACCAGCATAGCTCAACCATGCTTCAGGAGATGATCCTACTCCTAGTCTGCACAAATTAGATTGGTAGATTATTAAAACAAAAACAAAAAACAAAAAAACAAGGACATGAAGTTGGGAAGGGGTAAAGAGACAGGGGTGGGTCTAGGAGGAGTTAGGAGGAAGAGTAGGGGTGAATATGATCAAAATGTATTGTATGAAATTGATAGAAATATTAAAATTTAAAAAACCTATCACTAACTCCCGAACTTCTGTTCACTAACCCACCCAAACAGGGAATGTCTTTTCTGACTTCAGTAATCATAGATTACTTTTGCTTATTTTGAACTTTAAATAAACAGAACTCTCCTAGAAAAGAAAACAAACAAAAAAGCCGAGTATGATGGTATGTACTTCTAATTTCCATTCTGGGAGGGGACAGGCAGAGCGGCAGGGCTCATTGGGCACCCAGGCTAGCTTACTTGGTGAGTTCAAGGCCACCATTAAACATCATCTGGAAAACAAGATGGATGGCCCCGGAGGAATAACATTCAAAGTTATCCTCCGGTTTCCATACACGAACACACACACACAGACACACACACACACACACACACACACACACACACACACACACACACACACACAGACACACACACACACAGACACACACACACACAGACACACACACACACATACACACACACACAGACACACACACACACACACACACACACACACACACACACACACACACACACGGTAAGAATTCTGATACTTGCCAGTTGGCAGTGGCTCACACCTTTAATCCCAGTACTCAGGAGGCAGAAGTAGGAGGGTCTCTGTGAGTTCCAGGCCTTCCTAGGCTACTCAGAGAAACCCTGTCTTGAAAAACCAGAAGGGGGAGGAGGAGGAGGAGGAGGAGGGAAAGGGGGAGGGGCAGGGAGAAGGGAGGGGAGGGGGAGGAGGAGGAGGAATTTTGACACTTATTCCCAAGGATATAGTACTATGAGGAATTGGGGGCAAAGAATACTCCCTAAAGAGTTAGCACAGTTGGCCTGAGATTGCCAGCCTTGGAAAGGCCTGCTCAGGGTGACTTCTGGCTAGCAACTGGAGCTTGGATTTGAAAAAGATTCCCATCAGCCCCTGACTTATAAGGGTGACCCACTGTGCCTCATCTACTTGGATAAACAAGATGGTTGGTCAACATTTCCTTTCCTTCTGAGAGTCTGTAAATGTGGTATACTCAAGACAGAGGCTGTGTAACCAACACCCAATGAAAACCTTGGCACAAAATGTCTAGCAGGCATTCAGAAGAGCTTTTGCACATGGCTAGTCACAACTTACTGCTGTAAAACTTGAATCCTAAGTACCTACACTGGGAAAGTACTCAAAAACCTGATCCCAAATTCCTGTGGATTCTGTTATAATAAGAAATTCCTTTATTTAATGGCTACTCATAATTTTAAATATTCCGTGAAGACTGCATGCAGTCCTAAAAATTCACTGACTCATTTTAGGGAATCCCATACAGAGGGTTAGCCCTGAATTCTTATTTGCTGTAAATCATTGGATATTTTTTTGTCTGACCCTAAAAAGTATGCCATCTTATCCAAAAATTTGAAAACTACAAAAAATTATAATCCAACCAAAAAAATAGTACTCTTCATAATTGTTTGTTATGGTTCAGAACTTAGGTGCTCTCCCAAAGGCTCATGTGTTGATAGTTTGTCTCCCTGCGTAAGGTGCTATTGGGAGTCTATAGAATCTTTAGGTGGTGAAGAGCAGTGCAAAGAAGTTACGTCACTGAGGACACGCCCTTGAAGGCAATACCCAAGACCCTACCCCTGCCCCACCCCCGCCCCCAGCCCTGCCTGACCACCAGGGAATAAGCAGCTTTGCCCCACCATGCACTCCCCCATATGATGCTACGCTTTCCCACTCAAAACGACAGAGTCAAGTGGCCCCATGGGGTGGGACCATAAGTCAAAATCAACCTTCCTTCCTTTTGGGTTGTTTATCACAGATACTTACTTGGTAGTGGCAAAGGAAAACTGACTAATAAGTCCTTTCATTAAATGCTTCTTCCCTCCCCACCTCCTTTATTTTACTTTTCCTTTATCTGTCTATCTATCTATCTAATTTCTCTAATCTATCTAATATACATATACATACAATAATATACATATTATACTATATAATATATATTATATATAATATATGTATGTATACATTAGTGCTGGAGATTGGAATCAGGTCCTCACATACATCATATGTTGGAAGCCTTACCAAGTAGATGATTTTTTTTTCAAGACAGGATTTCTCTGTGTAGTTTTGGTGCCTGTCCTGGATCTCACTCTATA